AAAAACTTTGTTGAATTGTAATTTTGTGTTTGTAATTCTGTACATTTAATTAAGTTATTGTTATTGGTTTTTGCTTTCTCTTAAAATTTGCCATTTTTTATTTGACTTAATTTTGTTTTTTAAACCAAGTAGATGAATATAAGTTTTTATATTTTCAGCTTATTGGGTGATAACTTTAAAGTTAAATTTTGTAATTATATAGATTTTCAGAGAAATATTTTTGCTTTTATTCATAAATAACTATCTTACTTATTGTTAAGTGTGGAATGTGTGCTAAGTTTTGATAAACATCATATGGTAGCTACGAACGTATACTTAATAGACCAAAAAATATTTAGAATAGCCTAGTTCTCCACTCCTTACAAATGGAAGTAATCCATGGTTATTTAATATATCAAAAGACGATGTTTGTTGCAGATAATATTCCTCTTTAATGAGTGTTTTTTGGTTTAATTGAGTTATCTCTGCAATTCTGTTTTTTTTTGTTTTTTTTTGAGTAATTGATAAAAACTGGAAACTTTGTGACATAAGGTATGGATGCGTCAGACGGATGAATCCAACCAAAACCGAAGTATACGATGGACCATTTCACGGTATGGTGCAGCCTAGCGATGCGCATATCTTGCAGTGTGGTTGAAAGATGGGAGCAAATCAACGGACAGAGCTCTTGGGTCAATTGCTCTAATACCACCTTACCGAGTTTAACCCTGAAATAAACGTAACTTGGAATTACCACGTTCATTAAATCCTCTAATTACTAAGAAAGGTATGATTTTATAATGTTTTTTTAATCTAACATAAGTATTTTCTAATTAATGGCCACAGTAAAAATTAATCTTGTTTATCTACGATGTAACTCACTAGAACATATCCATTCAGCTATTTTACCAAGTCATAAGGGCCGAGTGTGCTGGAGTGTGAGTCACGGGATCCACGGTTTGCGTCCCTTTTCACAAAACCGCGTTAAGCATTTTGGACCCGTGGGTGCGTTATGCTCTCAGAGTGACAGTCCAATATACTATTCGATTAGATTAGCCCATGAATTAGTTTTGGGTGCTGATGACTAGCTTTCTTCACTTTAGAGAATCAATTCAAAATTATGGACGGCTAACACAGATATTCCTTTATGTAGATCTGCGCGAATTTACACAAGAAACACATCCAAAGTTTTAGTAAATTAATTTAAAATGATAAAAACTAATGTGCTACATTTAGAAACGTGTTCGACATAGCTGGCTTACTGATAATGGAAAATTATTAATACGTTTCATATATCTTTAAATGACCTAAAACTAAAAATCGCACCACGTCATGAGTAAAAAAAAACAAAACAAAGTGAAGACATAACAAGCATGAAAAGTGAATATATCAAATAAAGCAAACTTTCTGTTAGAAATTAAAATGCCACTTGTTGGAAAACGTTATAATTTACAAAATGTTAAACATACATGAGTCTCCAATCAGCTTGGCAAATTTAAGTGGCCATAGGAGATTTGTGTTCATTTTCAAATTCCGTGTTCGATCCCTGCAGTAGACATATGTCAAATAGCCCACTTCTATAAAACATCGATAGTACGATAATATCAGAGACATCAACACTACTACTTTCAAACTTGCCACTTGTTCTATTATTTATATACTAGCAAAAGTACCCGTTCGGGTTATTAGGTTGATATATTCTAGATGACTATGTTATGAATAATTATACATGCCACTGGTCGTCGTGTTATCTAACCTATATAAAAGCCAATGTGTGTCACTTCACGTCACGCTTAATTTTTTTTTAAATTTAAATCGTTTCTGAATTAAGGTATTTTCTGTTATATCACTAACGCTTTTAATTAAAAAACAAACCTCTTTAATCAACGGGGACTCTAAACTAAGAAATCAACAAATATTTTTCCAGTTTTGGAGTTTATACATCTCATTTTATACTTTCAATACATAGAGGGACAATAATATTATGTTATACGTTTGTTGCTAACAATGCGTTCCATCATGATAAAATCCATTGGTGGAATGCATTGTTACCAAAACGCACTGGCTTTTCTATATATTAGATGTTGTTATATAAAAAAACACTTCTTTACTATGTGGTTATTCGCTAGCTTGCCTCATAAAATAGATGCGCACGCACGTGAATAAGATGAGTAATAATCCCCTTAACAACTTATTATGCAAAACTTCAGGTTTCTAGGTTCTTTTCTCTTGGAACTATGGCGGTAACGTTTCTTTTCACGCACGTAGATAACTAATAATACCCAGGTGCAAACCCTCAGGGTCCACTTACCATTGGAGCAAAATTTCTAGTTTCTAGGTTCTTTCCTCTTGGAGCTATGGCGGTCACACATGCACAGTATTTCAAGTAAATTTGAGTTTCGTTTATTGTTTGAAAGGACAAATTCACTGTGTTTATTGTGTTTTTTGTCGTGTTTTTAAATAAGAAAGTAAAAACAATTTTTTTCCTCAACGAAATGGCTTTAGGCAAATTACTTTTCTGTTTGAAGAATATTAGTAAGTTATTTTTTGAAGACCAAAATAATTATTTTTACTTAGACAGAACAACTAGAAGAAAAATGGGGTATTGAACACCTTAACTGGCGTATTACGGCATTCGAAACACTAAGATATGTTATCTCAAAAGTATTCTTTGGTGGCTTAGCGGTAAGCTTGATGTCTAATAACAGTAGTGAGGGATCTATCCTCGCGACAGTTGCAGTGCAGATAGCTTATCATATAGTTTTGCGATAATATATTTATCTTACTTGAAAGCTGTTATAAACCAGGGACGAATGATGTAATTAAAATAATATCAGTCTTATTGTAACTAACCTATATAAAAAAACAAAACAACAACAACAACAACAAAACCGTGTGTCACGTCACGCTTAATTTCTCGAAATAGTAGGAGTCATAAAAACCAAAATGCATTTATCCAGATAAAATGGTTCGATACTGTCTGCCCATTACGATTTTAGTGACGGGGTGCAAGGGGCCGTGAGGGGGGCGTGAAAGCTTATAAGTGTAGCTAGTATTGGTATGATAAACCTAAAGTAAAGACGTAGTGTTGGATCACGTAGCCTAGAGCCAAGTGCATAAAATGTATCATGAAAATAAAAATATTAATTCAATTTTAAACTTAAATCATTTCTGAATTAAGCTACCTTCTCTTATATCATCAAAGTTTTAAATAAAAAACAAACCTATATCATCAAAGGAGACTCTAGATAAAGAAATCAACAAATATTTTCCAGTTTTGTTGTCTATACTGTTGCGTCAGCGAGATCACGTGACTATTGTCATGCCACCTGCTTTCTAGAAGTATCTTGTTCCTTCGTGAATGCCCTAGCATTTACTAGATATAGGGTAGGGTGGTATATATACGAGGGCGACAACGTGACGGAACAATGTGTGTGTAAACAGTGAGTAATTGATCTGCAGTCAGAGAGTATTATTGAGCACGTTCGTTGCTATAGCGTTTGTTTTAGCGCGATTGTTGAAATTAAGTGTATCGTAAAGTTATATTCGGAAAGAATAAACCAGTTTTATTAAGAAAGGACTTGTGTCGCTAAAGTTTCGTCGGAACGAAGCTACGGAAAATCAATTAACAAACGGAGACGTAACAATACATTTCATTTTATACTTTCAGTACATAGACTAATAACAGTATCAGATTATGCTTTTCTTGCTAAGCGACATGACATAAAAGCCATTGTTGGAACGTAGTGTTACCAAGAAGCACTGGCTTTTCTATATATTAGTTAGTCTGACTGATTTTTACCAATAATTATTTTATGAATATGCCACGAATTCATTTCATGAAATGATCTTAATTTTGATTGGCTCACAAAAGAATTTACTGACGTTTGACTGCCTCGACTCCACTTTTCTGCCTCTTTGTTGGTCAAGCATGCTTTCACAAAATTTATTTATTTCAGTTAACTATGAAATGTGAGGCTAGGGTATTCCAATGGGGTGGGGTGGTACCTCTTGTCCTGTCATTTTTGGCGGGTTATACGTTAGTATCAAACGAAACACACACACATCGCTAGAAAAAGTATTGTTATAATTTGATTTTAAAGCGAGAGAGGGCGTTATTTTATAAATTCTTGGAATAAGTTCAATTAAGCCTACTAGCATTATTAATTTGTAATAAATTGTTATAAGGACATGAGTTTACTTCTGTGTGCCACTGTCATTGAAAAACAATTTCTCTGTTCATCAAACTGTTCACAATATTTATGTGTAGTTTGTGTGAGACTCGAGTTAGAGTCAAATTCGGACAGAGGTAGAGGAGTCATTTAATGATTTCACTGAATAGTGAATATGATTCATTTATTCAGTAAATTTCAAGCTTGTAAGTTGTATCAACAACAATTCTAATATTAATAAGGTAAGGTTAGTTTACGGTAAGCTATTTTTTTGTAATTTTTAACGCTTTTAGTTTTACTTCGGCAACATGAATTTCTCTGCCATTATTACTATAGTATTGGTAATACTAATAATAGTGTTCTGATAGTGTTACTCAGTGTTAGTTGATTCCGAGCTCGCTAATTTAGTAGTGCTACTAGTACCACTAATAAGCAAGATCAAAATATTTAATTATAATAAAGCACGCTATTACTCATAGTTGTTTAGGTCATTTAGTGATTTATTGATAACATTACTAATACTATTTGTGTTTTAAAGACTTAATACAATTTCAAATGTTAGGTAGTTAGGGCGCTCGACTCGCAATCTGCGGGTCGCGGGTTCGAATTCCCGTCCCACCAAACATGCTCGCCCTTTCAGTTTCAGCCGTGGGGAAGTTGTGTAGCTTTACTTCCAAACAAGTCAGACCAATGTTAGTGATATATACATATATATATATATATACTAAAGAAAGTCAAGACTACCAAAATCTAACAATACATTAACAAAGCAATAAATCGGAGTAGATATCACTAGCTGTGCATTGTCAGAGTTACAGCCAGAACCGTTCCATGTCAGCATGTGTGTCTGAAGAGTATTATCCAAAGGCCCTTTTTTGCTTTATTTTTTAAATCTAAAATTGACAGTGTAACTTACAAGCTTTCTCATTATAATTATTATTTGGATACTATGCTACATTTCCATTTTAACTATGATAAACACTATAATATAATAATAACTAAACTACAGTACTTCTTGAATTTACCATTCGACAATTTCACAAGTTTTGTTTGAGAATTGGGCTAACAATTATACCATGGGTAGGTATCAACTTCATTGTCTATGCAATAACTTGTTTAATTATTAATATTGAACTTTATTAACTTTATTATACACAATGTAGGAGCCAACTTTTAGTTTTCTTGAGGGAGGGGGGACAAGATTAGGGTTGTAACTTGACCCTATGGTTTTGAAACACTTTAAGACATAACAGGTTTTTAAATTTGCTCTTAGGTTTAAATTAATTAATGCCTAATCATAATAACAGTTTAGGTAGCACTTCTAAGCATGTAGCTTTGACCTATTATTAGTGATAGTATGAACAAATACACATCCAACTTTAAAATTGTAGAGCATTCCACAACATTATAGCACTGAATACATCTTATAACACAAAAATATAATATAGGTATTGCAGTTTTCCCCAGAGGTTAAACCTCACAACCCCTTTCCCATGGGGACAGAGTCCCAGGGTCCCCATGTATTTGTCAACTGTGACACATAAGAGCTTGAATGGAATAGTGAAGTAAATAGCAGAGAAAATAAATTAACATAACTGATTATGATATCTGAGTATAGGTAGAAACAGTGAAATAATCATTCTCTAATTAAGAGTGCAAAATATGTATATAAATGTTTTGACGTTACAAAGTGGATCGAGCACTGGCATGTATTGTTTAATTCGCTGTAGTTTTCATGGGCCTTCCCAGTTGTGGTGAAACTCACAGGTTAAAGGAACTGCACCTTAGGTGTCTGCTACCACTGGCTACCTAAACAGTTCCTTAACATTATTATTTTATGCACAATCTGCCAACACCATGACAAGGCATGTCATTTATATAATAAATGGAAATAATAAATGACCATTTGGTTCTTCAGGGTTGTCCTAGCACACTCATCTATGAGAAAAAAGTAATAATTTATACCCACCCTTTATTTTAAAGGAAATCTGACAAGCTTAACTCAATCAATCAAAATCAATATATGTGTGTACACACCTCAAAATTTGGAACTAAAATGTTAATATTTTTTATCTCCATATGTAATACTACCCTAAATCTAATTTTAGAATGATCTCTTGTACCCAATGTTTCCCAACATCCACCCCCATCGAGTGTATCCACAATGGAAATTAAGGTTTTAGAAGGGGTATCAATGATATGGGAGGTTTTTATAAATAAGTTGTTAAATATTCAAGATGAATGTGTTACAGAGGAAAAAAGGAGTGGCAGTAATAACAAACAAGAGTGGCTCACTGAAAGTATTTGGAAGAAAATTAAAGATAAACTTTACATATTTAAAAAGTTTTAGGCTAACTACTAGTACTAGGATGGAAGACATGGAGGATCATAGAAGATCAAGAGTTGATTAAAAAATATATATACTATAAAACCAAAACTGGAAGATAACAACAAAAATAGTTAGGTTAAAATGTTAAAATCAGCAATAGGAATTTGTTTAAATACAATAAAGGTAAGGTTAATGTTCAACTGGGAATTGGATATTTATGGTGTCCTGAAGGAAGGGTTATTATGGGATGGCTGGGTTGAAGAATGTTTCCTTTGTTTTAGTTTTCACGAGAGTAGATGTGAACAGTGTTGCAGATCATAAGAAATTACTAGTGGAAAGTATGATAGATGTACATGAACTTAAAATTTGCCTTGACATTTCTTAAAAGAATTGTGAAGTCTGGAAAATGATTATGCTTCTTGATCAGATAATATTTTTTCAAAGAGCATTAATAGAGGTAAGGATTGCATAAGTAAAACTCTTACTAAATTTGTTTGTGTCTTTGAATAGTGAGCAGTTGCCAGAAGAATAGAAACTGGTTAATGTTACACCTACATATTTTTAGGAAAGGTAATAAGCATTGTAAAGGTGATTATAGTTCAGTTAGTCTTACTTCTGTAATTGTAAAAGTTTAGAGATACTGATTAACAATCCTTTGTAAAGCCACCTTACAAAGTTTATTATTTTGTTGGAAGACCAGCATGGTTTTATGTGGAGAAAAATTTGTTACATAAAACTTTTGACCTTCTTCACAGATGTCACTGCTTATGTTGATGAGGATAAATGTACGTATTTGGTATGACTAGGTTTTGAAAGACTTTTGGTAAAGTGTGACGTAAAAGACTAGTAAAGACAATTATCTGTATGTGTGTGTGTGTGAAAATAAGTCAGCTTAATGAATTAAGGACTTGTTAAAGGAGAGGAGATAAAGGATTTTAATAAACTGAGGTCATTCAAATTGTATTGGAGTTCAAGTTGGCGTACCTCAGGGTTTTGTTATAGGACCGTTATTTATTTCTAAAGACATTAACAATATTTGGAAAAGAATGGTCAAGTTTTCACAATCATCCAGTGCAGGCCTCAACAAATCCTGAGTGTCAGGTTGCCATGGCGACTAAAAATTTCATCATGGCACCTAGTATTTTCTCCCATTTTATTCGTGTATGGGGCTGTGCTAAATAGAACTCAAATCTAGAACAGTTCTAGACTCTTGGAAGTCTGGAACTATTTTCACGTTCTTTGAGTCCTAAAGTGAAATTTGTTTCTCTGATTTTAATGGCAGATTCAGCACTTCTTCATGTTTTTTCAGGAATGAAGTGCAGTGATTGTACAATAAGTTACTAATTTTGTGCCATTTTATTTTTTTTATTTCTCTCAATTCAACCAACCAGTGTACTTATTTAGACTCAGATGGAACCAAAGACAGATAGTTCAGGCAATACTATCAAGTTGCTGTGAAAGTAAATATATATATATTTAGCCCCCATTTCCTGGTACAAACAGTAGTGAAGTTAGGTTAGGCACACCTGGCTCCTGAGTTTTGGGGCTGGCTCCTAGATCTGAAAATATTTGTTGAGGCCTGATCTAGTGAAATATGGTGGAAGAAAATGAACTAAAGGGAAATCTTCCCTTACCTGTTATCTGGAGGATGAAAAGCGTGTGGATTTGGTGTACTTATTTACTAAATCATTGGATAAGGATGTCAAACCAAAGATTAACAAAGAAAATCACATTGGTGGTTGTTGGTGAAGGACTAGTAAATTGGATTGTAGGATGATTGGGTATGAGAAAGCAAAAGTTGCTGTTAATGGATTCCAGTCAAACTGAACCATTGTTACTATTGGAATGCTTTGAGGTCAGTGCTTGAGCCTTTGCTTTTTCTTATTTACATGAATTATGTTGATAGGAGCATAATTAGTACATTAGTAAAATTTACAGATTGTGTTGAAACTCTTGTGCATTTCTAGCTCTAGTGAGGATGTTAAGGAACTACAAAACGATTAGAATCAGTTGGATAGTTGGACAAGTATTCTGTAAGATAATATGAATCTCACATTTGACACAGATGGGAAGCTACAATAGCATGAATGAAGGAAAGGGTCTTGGCATTGTAGTCATATATCACTTATGCATTTGAGACAGTGCTCTCTTGCTAGTAGCAAAGCTAATAGAATTTTAAGGTGTATTTATAGATGTATTAATAACATGTCAAAAAAAGGTAATTATCTCTATGCAAATCACAAGTTAGGCCTTAATTGGTATATTATGTAAAGTTATGATTTATTTATTTAAGGAAGGATATTGAGTTATTGGAAATGGTTCAGAGGAGGATTACTAGGATTTTTCCAAGGATAGAAGGGTTATCTTATTTCTTGAAAAAATTGAGTAATGAGTCACTGAGGCTTTGAACAGATATCTATTAGAGAGCACCAACTTCATTTCAATAGACTTGCCATGCTATACCTACACTGAGTAGAGTTGGAAGACTTGGACTTCAGTCACTTTGTTTTTTGACTTACACTTGATTTGGACTAAAGACTGTGACTCAAATTTGATTTGGCTCATTTACTTTGTGACTGGATCAACTGAAGATTTAACAAAATATTGGCTTGTTTAATTTCTAGTATCGATGAATGTTTTATTTTAAACTACTTTAAAAAGTCAGAATTACAGAGATTTTATCAAAATTAGAAAAGCTTGTGAAAAAATTACAAAGTAAGCCGGTCAGAGGTGCTGATATACACTTGCTTTGATATATTATTGGTAGCTTTCTGAAATTAACTTTTGTCATTCATTTCAATGTCTTTATGAATGTGAGAACACATGCATGTTCATAAAATCCTTATGCGTGCTTTAAAAAGGGTTTATTTTATTTTTACTTACAGCTTAGAAATATAGTGATGGTATTTCTAAATAATTGAGCTGTTTTTCTCATTGGATTCTACTCGAAATTGCTGTGACTCAGCTCAAATGAAAATTGACTCTGACTCAAACACAAATTGAAATGTTGGGAAATGATTCAAACAACTGTGGCTTAATTCCAGGTCTGGCAGAGTGAGGGAGCTTCAAAATAATTTTATTTCTAAATGCATACATAACCTAATTAAGTTTGAAACCACATTTTTTCAAACGATTAAAAATATATAATAAATTCTGTGTTAGTTGTGTGAAGTAATAGTAAGAGAAATAAAATATAAAACATTCCCATGAGAATCTTCCAAAATTCAATAAAGTAAAAGAGCTAGAAGTGTATGTAATGTTTTTTAGAGTTTACATTGCTTTTAACAACATAACTGATGCTTCCTTACTGTTTACTTGCTGTGTTTTAGCATTCTGTTACTTGAGAAGAAAGTGTAAAAGTATGGTTGCTAACACATAGCGGAACCATACAAGTATGTATAATTTTGTTGTGAGCTTTATTTTCAATGTTTTAACTTAAATGTTTGCTTGAACCTCGACCTACAATTTGTGTTAAAGTGAATGTAGCCTATACTGTAGAAAATGTTGTTGAAAAAATAAATTAATTCATTACTGTTACATATACTGGATTTGGCATTATTTTTATTAGATAATCTGAAAGAAACCACCCAATGATAGAACATGCTATAACAATTTCTTTTGATGTGTGAATCATGTTGATAAAAGCCTTTTTATACTTTGTGTAAATCTTGACTTTATCAGTATTTATTTATTAAAAGTTGATTGAAAGCAGTTGAGTGAAGTTGTTTTGCTTGTATTCAATTATTATATATGTAATAAGCTAGTTATTGAAAGTGTGATGACACTAAAAAATTATTGCTTTGGGTTATTGCAATAGCTCTTTCTGATGCAAAATATTCATAAACTCAGATCACAAAGATGTGTTCAGATTGGTGATTTAGAATTTCCATGGTAGGGAAATCCCTTGTACTTAATTGCACTTGAAAACAGAGAATTTGGATCAACTTGAAACACCAGGATCATTTGGAAAGATTCTTGCAGTAAATCATTCCTAGCTATGGTAAGCAAAGTGCAGCATCATGTGACAGGTGAGAGCTCATAAACACAAAGGTCAATGGCAATAGCCACTCATGTGTCACATGCAGTAGTATGCAACATAATAAAAAAGGACCATAGTCTGTAAACAAGGTCATAAAGTTGGAGATTGAAATAGGTCATCCTCTGCCATTCTGATATTTGAGGTATGTGGTACTTTTTTTTTTCCTACCCTACTTGTTTATGTTGGTTCATGGATGAGCTACTGGAGCTTATTGGAGCTACCTTTTGGCTCTGGTTCTTAGGAGCTTGGCCATTACACTCTTGTGCACCTATAGACCCTCTTTGCAAAGACCCTTGGGTCACATGGGTGCTTTTCTGGTCTATCAGCTCTCAAATGCCTTTCTCATATCCAGTTTTCTTTAAAGCCACGTATGTGTTTCTTCCAGGCAATGGATGCAGTGGAACAGGTCATTGACCCCACTCCATTGTTTTACTCTTGACTTTTTGTAGTTCCCACAAAGATGGGTTTTGAGTTATTTATGGCCCATTATATATTTGTTGACATTGAACTAATTTATCATCATCTCTTGGCTTAAGATAGAACGTTTTCTCAATCTGAGGTGTGTGATTTCTCTCAGGTTGTGAATAACCAAGGTTAGTATTTTGGATACTTTTTTCACATTATGATTCATCTGGCCTCCTGTTAATTCCCTTTTTTGTCCACAATGGTCAGATCCTTCAGTTTAGAGTCCTCCTTTTTGGGTTCTCTCCAGCTTTATTTTTTCAACCAAGTCCTGAGAGCTTTCACATGGAGGATGCACTTTTTGGGTATGAATTTTGGCTTCCTTGTGATTAGGTCCTTTTAACCTCATCCTGAGAGGCATCCTCTGCTGTACCTTGCTTTTGTTTTTGGTTTGATGGTCAAGGTCTCAAAGTTATTATTGACCCTAACTCAATATCTGATTTATTTTGGGGTCTTTATAAACTTGTTTGCTATTCTGGCTCAGCTTTGTTCTTTATGTCTCCAATACATGGAGTTTCTGTTTTCCAAAGTTCTCATTTCTGCTTCTCTTCTTATGTGAGAAGTTCTATCTGTTTCAGAAACTAGCCTCTCTAGAGTCCCTTATTCTTCTGGGGCATGCCCATTTGAATCCTACTTGGTGCACTAAGACAGATCAGTGGAATATGTCCAGAGATCCACTGACTTCTCTCATTCCATTCCCTCCATGTCTTCACCCCTTGCTGTCATGGTGGCTCAAAAATCCCACATAACCTTATTTATCCCTCTTCCTCTACCTTACATGAACTTACATATGTTCAAGGATGCCTTTCTTTTTCGGTGTAGTGCAATTCTGGACACCTTCACCATTTTCTTTGCTTAGTCTCCAGAGAAGCAGTCTCTGCATGTCAACATCCTTCAGATGTTGGCAGTTTATGGCCTTGCTACCATTTTCTGTTATGCCTGCCTGGACATCTTATCGTGATCCATTATGGTAACTCTGTTATTATGTCTTACCTCAATTATCAGGGATGTGGAGGTTTTACTGTTGATACTTCTGCCTTTTAGCTTTTGAGCTCCTCTTTTTGGCCTTCAATATTTGGTTCTGGGCCTTCCATGTCTTGGGAACTTTGAACTAGTGCCAGGTTGACTATCTTGCTCGGATTAGATTCTTTTGAACACAGTAGTGATTACATTTTCTAGTGTTTCATTGGATTTGTCCCCACTTTGGAAGTCCTCTTTTCAATGCATTTGTGACTTGCCTCAAATTTCTATCCTTTTTGATCAACAGTTCTTGATTCTGCTGCGATACAAGTGTACACTCTGAATCAGGATTGGTCCAACTTGTTCCTCTTCTTTGACTCCTTCCCAGGGTGCTGTCTCTAAGTTGAAGTGCTTCTTGGTGGGTTCTTTAAGATTTTTCCCTTTTGGCAGGTGTGAAGAGTGCAACCACACCAGACCCCATGAGTGAACAAGGAATTTTTACATTAAATTTTCTTTTATCACATTTGGCTCTTAGCCTTTTTTAGTCTATACTGTTCATTATAGTTACCATTGTTATTGTATAGATAATTAAATTAATATCATATTAGCCAAACTCAAGACAGAAGCAACAGAAGTCAATGACCAATTGTCACAGCTGATGTGTTTTCCATTTTAGTGGACTTTTATTTGCACTGATTTATAGTTTGCTTCCAATGCAATAGCTCACCTCTATCTATGGTGTGACTGCTATGATTCGCAGTGAATTGTCTCATTTTATTCAACATTCACCATCACATGAGTATCCTGTTTTGCCTGTGCCTTGTGTTTCTTCCTTGTCATTCCAAAGTTCAACATGGAGTCGTACTTAATTATCCATTGGGTTTTCACTCCAGGTCTGTGGATGATAAAGGTTGATGTGTTGGATGCTTATCTGCATATTCCCATCTCCCCAGCATCCCGTGATTTTCAGTTTCGGGCTTTTCTGTTTGGCCTAGCCCTGGCCCCTATGTGTTTTGCCAAGTTGTTTGGTCATTTGCTAGTCTGCTTCATTCACAGGGCCTTCATTTCGATCAGTACATGGATGACTGGCATCCTCACAGGCCGACTCTGCCCTCTTTAATTGGTTTCTTCTTCCGGAAGCTGCCCAGGTCGGTTGGCTCATCAAGGTAGAGAAGTCGTTTCTCTCACTTACTCTCTTTGTGGTTCATCTGGGTGTGTTTCTCAATTCACTTGTCAGTCGAGCCCAGCCTTTTCCACTTTGCTTGTCTGGTTTACAAGGCCCCCTCCTCACCTTCTCCTTCTGTACGAGAGGTTTTATCTCTTTTGGGGATGTGGGCGTCTCTCGAGGTGCTCAGTCTCCTTGGTCATGCCCATATCTGCCAGCTACAGTGGGCTTTAATCGACCAATCGAGTTTTATTCAAGATGCCTTTGAGGCTTCTCTTACCCTTCCCTCTCCATTACTTATGGAATTTGCTTGGTGGATGGATCATGCCAATACTATCACAGAGGTTCCTCATCATCTGCATCATTTGGATTGTCATCTTTTTACTAATCCTTCCCTTTCCAGTTGGGGAGCATATCTCGATGGTCGGGAAGGTGGACTCTTCTAGAATCCACTCTCCATTTCAATATCTTGGAGCTTCTTGTTTTTCATGCTGTCAGTGGTGTCCTACATCTCCAGGCAAGGAGGCACCCAGTAGAGGGACCTTTTTTTTCAAACATTGGGCCCATATCTACCAAATTATTTGCTTGTGTTTCATATTCCAGGTGCCATGAATCTGGCGGCAGATCGGTTATCCCAACCCAATATGATTCTACCAATAGAGTAGTCTTTGGATCCTGTCGTTTTTCAGGAGTTGTGTGCTCATTGGGGTATCCACGATTTGGATGCTTTTGCATCTCCTCTCAACACCAAACTTCCCCATTTTTGGTCGCCTGTTCCTCATCTACAGGTGGATGCAGTTGATGCTCTCAGCCAGAATTGGATGAATAGTTATCAATATATGTCCTCCTATTTAGTTTCTTCCTCATAACCTTTTGATAGTTTCTTGTTGGGTTCCGTAGGTGGCACCATATTGGCCAGTGCAGACGTGGGTTCTGCTTCTACAATGGCTGTTCACATGCTCCTCAATCAGCCCCTCTCTGGTGTGTGCCATCCTTCCCTACCCACATTCCATCTTCATGCATAGTTTTTGTCTGGTCCCTCTCCAGAAGGTCTAGCCTTTCTAGGTGTATTGCCTCCTTGATTTCCCATCCTCATTGGCAGTTTATCAGCGTACGTAGACTACATACCACTCATGGTCTCTACACTGGGGTTACCATTCTTCTTATCTTAACATTCTTCATTTCTTGTCCTTTTTTTCATTTGGCTTTATGACAGGGGCCTGTCATATTCTCTGTTGCTAGTTGTCGGGCAGCTTTTTCTAACACTTTTTGCATCAGTCTTCCAGTATACTGTCTATGTTATTTCATTCCTTTTCCATTGCTCGTCCTCCCCGACCTGCCTCACTTCCAGATTCAAACCTCAGTATGTTCATTCATGCTTTTACTTGTCTTCTGTTTGAACCTTTATCATCTTGTTTGTTATATCACCTGTCATTGAAGTCACTATTTCTCTGGTTGTTGGCATGTGATCCTCTTCGTGCTGATGTTTTTGCAATTGACATTCACTGTACTTTGTTCCATTCTTCCCATGTTCTATTCTTTCCTGACCATTCTTATCTACCCATAACTTCTGCTGCCCAGGAGGGTAATACCACTTTCACTCCTATTTCCCTCCCCTCCTTCTCCCATCTTTATGACTGTTCAGATCCAGATTGTCTTCTATGCCTGGTCATAAATGGTATGTGACACACATTGATCCTTTCCCTGGTTCGAGTGTACATTTGTTTGTTCCCTGGAACCCTGCCATCTCCCGTGATATTTACCATGTACTCTTATGGGTTATTTGCCTGGTATATTCTTCACTTTCTCAGGATGATTGTCACCTTTTTTGGGTCTTTTCTCATCCAATCCATAACCTGACCATGCTTTTGCCTGCCCATTTCCACCTTCCTTTGAAGGACATCATCAGTGCAGTTATGTAGACTATCCTGCACACCCTTACACCTCACTACCTCCATCATGTGGCCGATTCTTGCTTTTGGGTTTCAGCTTACCTCCAGTCACCATTTTACACACTTCTGTTTCTTAGTGAGTGGTGAATACTAATTTTTCTTTTCCTTTACAGGGGCCTCTTGTCCATAAGTA